TATTAGTTACTGTACTTATTGCACAATTAAAGCATGAATTGGAACTTTTGTGAGTTCATGTTACAATTGCAAGAGTAATCGAGACTCTGATTTTATGGAAAAGTGTTGAAAATGATTTAGCTTACGTGGTCATTTATCGTGCTTACAAATTGGTAACGTAAAATGAGGATTATTTTTTGTTTGTGATAAATGTGCAATAGTGACGCCACTTCCATTGCGATGACCTGAATGGGTTAAAATTCAAAACAAAATATATTTTAACGATCATTATATTCTTGATTGAATATTTCCCTATGATATGTTTTAAGCCTAAATGTTAGCTTTTTTTGTAAGGTACTAAAAATGTTGGAAAGTATTCTATATGTAATGTATCCGGCATGCTCTTTGATGGAGTTTTAGAATGTTAACTATTAGTATGCCTATTATAATTATATTATAATTATGACGAATATTAATTTTTTGTTATGAAATTCCAAATTTAGAAAGATAAGTATTAGCAATGTATCATTCTTTACGCTTACACGAAATGGACAACATATTTCTTTTTATTATTAACTTTTTAAGTAAAACATCATGCTCATTCGTCTCATTTTAAATTGTCTTTTTTTTTGTTCGTCCTAATATAAATTGTCTGTTTTTTATAATAGAAAACTTTTAAGGATTAAATATCTAAATTAACTCTAAAATAAGTCACTCCTCTTGCCCTTATCTTCTCATTCATCGCTGCGATCATAAAAAAATAAGGCATTTTTGAAAAGTCAACATAATTTGTAAAACACTATTGATAGTGTAAAATTAAGTTTACACTACCAATTTTTACACTATACCTTGGAGATGCTCTTAGTTTTTTGTTATGAAATCCTAAATGTAGAACAACAAATATTAGCAATGTATCATTTGCTACAAGTGTAGTTTATAAAGTAGTGTTCCAAAACTTTTAACACTTCGTATCGACTCTGGCCATTACTGTATATAATTCCCTTATTGGAAAATCATATTAATTATGTAATCTTTCAGTTTTTGCAACATTTTCCATTATTTCAAACATTGACTAATTATATGTAAATTAATAGCCGTGCATCGCACGGATACGAGTCTAGTTTAAGCAGAAAATGGATGTGGGTTGAGTCCATGTTACGCAAGAGTAAACGAGACTCTGAATTTATGGAAGATTGTTGGAAATGCTTTACTGCACGTGGACATCTATTGTGCTTACAAATTGGGATGTTAAATAGGGATTGTTTTTTGTTTGTAATGATTGTGTGAGACTAACACCACCAATAATGACACGACATACACGCCGACAATCTAAATGATGATGACAGGTAAAAATGTCAGTCAAGAAGTTGTTTATCCACGGTTGTCGTTAACACCGTCAGATGCAAGAATTCCTTTTAGATTTCAAAAGAAACAATTCTCAGTCATAACTTCATATGCTATGACAATTAACAAAAGTCAAGATCAATCTTTGTCCCATGTTGGATTGCTACTCAAGAAATCGATATTCAATCATGGTCAATTATATGTTGCAATTTCACGTGTTACAAGTTGTGAGGGGTTAAAGATATTAATTTGCAATAAAAATCTTCCGTCAACGAACCAAATTACAAATGCAGTTTAAAAAGAAGTGTTCCAAAACTTATAACACTACATATCGACTACAGTCGTTCATGTACATTACCTTATTTTGGGTATTTTTTATATAAATTGTTATCTTTAATTTTTTTCATTTTTTTATTTCATATAATGACTAAATGAAATTAATTTTACATTCCGTGCATCATATGGGTACGAGTTTAGTGAATACAATACGATATAGATTATGTACTTTCTTTATCCATACATTACATTTAACTCATTTATATTTTACAAATTTAAGAAAAAATAAATACTCATTGTTTATGACTGAATTTTGTGAAATAAAGAATGCATATAAGAAAGAATGATTTTTTTACCTTTGTGTTTTGATAATGACAAACATGTTCGGATTCTTTTAATGGTGCTTTGGAGTACTTAACAAGTTGCTCAAGATATCAAGTCAACTTTTGAAGATATAAAAAAAAATTAGATCCTTTTTTTTAGTCTTAGCACTTTTGTGATAGAGTAAGACACACTTCTTTATTCCCCAAATCTTCCATTTTTCCAAAAGTTTTTCTTAAAAATGATTTTTGAGTTCTTTATTAAATCTTTTCATAGATTAGCATTTTACAAATTTATATTAGAACAAATTTGGTTTTATTCGAATGCGTTTACGTTTCTGCGCTTAAAACTTTGTTCTGAACTATTCGAATACATCTCAAATTATTCGACAAGGTTGGCTTTCTAGTCATGTAGTCCATCCTATTTTATTTGAATAGTTTCACATTTCTTTGAATAAATTTAAATATGTACACCCTCCGTCTCGAGTATTTGTTCATTTATGACCTTTTCAGTCAAAAGTGGTAAAGTTTAACCTCAAATTAAATAAAAATGAAATTAGATATTGATACAAAAAATAATTTTAATAGATTTGTTATATAAAATATTTTCAAAATATTGTTTTATCTAATAAATACACAATATATATTTTGTTTAATTAGAAATCAAAATTTAAAAACAATTGACTGAAAAAGTCAAAACTTGACAAATATTCTGTGATAGGGATAATATGTTTTATATACATGAGATTTTTTGTTATCACTTAATTGTAAATTCTTCAAAAAAAACTATGTAAGTACTATGCTTTATGTTGATGCCCATATCAAACATGAAAAATGTTACTCCTGCTGTTCCAATTTTAAGTTACATGTTTACTACTCTCAACATCATATTTTAACCATGTTTTTAACCCATTTTTGCAATATATTTGAGAAAATAATGGTTTTGTCACCTTTTGTGTTGAAAACTTTTGATGTGGTTTTTAAATTTATAAATTTTATTTTTAATTGTTCACAAAATTTTAAATGAATTAAATTGAAATTAATTTTGTTAAATCTCGTAAACAATAACAAATACTCTCTCCGTTTCTTAAAACCCTTCCTCTTTCATTTTTTTTTGTTTTTCTTCAAACATTTCCCTTTTCTATTAAAAAACCACTTTTAACTCTACTTTTTCATACCCTACCTATCACATCATACTTTTTCACTAACAACTAAACTATCACATCTTACTTTTATCCATCACATCAAGGGCAAAATTGAAAAGTCAACTACAATTTAATACTTCCTTATTTTTTCCTAAAGTCAAAAGAGGAACCGTTTTGAGAAACGGAAGGAGTATCTCTTTTTGGGATAAAGGGAGCACGGTGACAATCACATGGATAAATATTGTCTTTAAATACGTAATTATTTTTTGTGACGATAGTATGATCCGTTGCCATAAAGATAAAATGCTTAGTTAGAATTACAATCTGTTTTGTATGTAACAAAATTACACTTAATGTTTTTTTACTCCGTGGTGTTAAAATTCCGGCAGGCCAAGAACAACGGATAGAGTGTCGGGTAAAATTATCCACTTGCACATAAAATTGGGATCCACAATTCTAGCCCAAAAAAGCTTAAGCTAATAGGTAGGGCTTCACCGTTCTATATATGCTAGTGATACTCATCTTTATTTTCCGATGTGAGAACTCCAACACTCCCCGCAAGTGGTAACTAGTAGAGCTGGCAAATTGGTCGGTCAGGTCAGGTTCGGGTTCGGTCACTTCGAGTTCGGGTTACTTCGGGTTCGAATCAATTCAGATTCGGGTTGATAGCTGTATGTTCATGATCCAGTGTCATCGGGTTCGGGTCGACCCAACGGGTTATGACTTTGGTTTTTTAAATTTTTAAATTACATTAACACTTACATTTTCTTATAAATAAATTTAAAATATCAAAAAATATGTATTAAATCTATTAAACTATTCTATTTTATATCCTGAAAAAGTTTTTAGATATATAAATCAATATAAGAAATTTTAAAAAATATTTAAATTTTAGAAAAAAGTAAGATAATTATGCTATATCATTAAAGTTTTGTCTGAAAATATAAATTTTTCATTAAAAACGAGTAGTAAAGTGTATGATTTTGAAAACCACTCACTTTAGCGGGTCGGTCAAGTCGGATTCGGGTTCGGTCAAGTTTGACCCATTTTTAACTGGTCATTTCGGGTTCGGTCAACTTCAAGTTCGATCATCAAAACATTTGTTCAAACCCCAGTGTTTTCAGGTCGGGTTTCTGGTCAAAAACAGGTCGGGTCATTTTTTGCCAGGTCTAGTAACTAGCCTGGCCTAGTTAGCACTTGGATAAACGGGTCTAGCATCTCAATCTCTTATAGCTAGCCCACACAACGGGCGGTGGCATCTTAATCTCTTTTTAGCCAACTCGCCCCAAACCATAGACGGGTAGCTCATTTTTGCTAAACCCACATCCAAACAACCAGGAAAAATCAAACCAGACCGGACCTGCTCTGATACCATGTTAAAATTCTGGCGGGCCAAGAACAACAGATAGAGTGTCGGGTAAAATTATCCACTTGCACATAAAGTCGGGATCCAAAATTCTAACCCAAAAGTTTAAGCTAATAGGTAGGGCTTCACCGTTCTATATATACTAGTGATACTCATTTTTATTTTTCGATGTGGAAACTCTAACAGTAAGGGATGTAATTGAAAGGGGTTCGGGTCGGGGTGGGAGATTTATCGAGGGGTTAAGAGAGTAAGAATCGTCAATTTTACAAAAATGACACCGGAGTGCCCCTGGATTATCCTATAACATTGTCGGGCAATATCAGAAAAATGTTACCCATGTTTACTCTTTTAGTCTAATTTAGGAAAATTAGTTTTTTTAAACAAAGAGAATCAATAAACCAGTGCTGAGTCTTCTGACATGGGCAGTCCCCTCCTCGGTTACGTTACACTTGGATTTTCAAATTTCACCATCCCCTCAACAACGGTCTGATCCACTGTTTATCTCTTCGATCCCAGCCGTTCATTATTTAATCTACAATTCCTATATATCCTCCCCGGCCGTACTGTACAACCCTATCAATTAGCTAGAATTAGGAAGTGAGAAGCTCAGTTAAAAAAAAGGAAGTGAGAAGCTAAAGAAGAAGATGACAACTCTCTTATTTGAGAGTACCCATACTTCCAAGAAGAGTGAGATTTGATTTTTGAATCCCAGGTAATTTCCATCACACTCTCTGGGTGTTTCTTCGAAATTCTTGAAATTGTTGGTTCAAAGATTCAATTTTTAGCCCAATCAAACAGTTCTTGGTTGTTTTTTTCTCAGAGTTTGAGGCCATTCTTGAAAGTCTTGACAACCAGTTGGTGGTCTGTCACTGTTTCGGCTCTAATTTGGTGCAGATTGTGATTGTTTGCTTGTTGAAACAGTCAGCTTTGGGAGAGTCCCAGAAGCCATTGAAGAAGCTTTGGATGTCTTTGAATCCCAAAAAACTTTGAGGTATAAAACTCAATTCTCTACTTCCATTCATATTTGTCTGTTTTTTTATTTTTTTAAAAAATGGTGCGTCTCTCTCTTCAAAGCAAAGACTTCATTTTTCAACACCTTGGACAAATAACAAATTAATGCCACTTGTATGCAGTACTAAATACTTTAATGGTCGAAATTGGATTTTATAATATGACAGTACTTTTTTTAAAAAAAGAGTATACATATAGATGAATTTAAGTCTGTAACTGAACCGTAAAGATAAGAACTTTATGTAGTAGATTACTAAAATTCCCATTTCCTGTGATGTATAAATATTGCCTACTTTTGTATGGTTGATTTACCTGCCTGCTGAGGATTCCATACGTAAAAAATTTGAGCTTTACAGTTATGGTAAAAGTTTTTACCGCTGCTTTCATAGTTGAATTGGCTGTGGGAGTTTCTAATTGAATTGTTTGCTAATCTGTCATAAAAATCAGTCCAAAGATTGGTCCAATGGACAAACAGATCAAAACAGGTGAACTGAACCGGCCGGTTTGGGGGAGGGTGTTTTTTTATTGTCTGGGATTCTTGGAGGCATTTTCATTGTTAAGTCTTTTTCTATGTATTTATTGACAATTTGGATTATATGATGATGTGAAATTTTGAGAAAAGCTCCTTCTTTTGGCCCCTTCACTTCCTTTAATTGCCCTTTAATTGCTCAAACAGTTCTTGATTGAAAAAGCTCCAAAGATTTCATTTTCAAGAAAAATTCCATATTGTTCTTTGTTGCAGAAATCTCCTGAATTCTACTGAAATCTATCCCGGTATAAAAGCTCTGAAGAATGGTTGAAGACGACGGGAAGAGGAAGACGGTGATGACCGCCGATGATGACGTGTCAGCAGAGGAGTGGCTGTCGCGGGCCCGGCAGCTCCTCCCGGAAGCTCTAGGAAGGGCCAGAGAGGTCCGGGGATTCCCCGGCCGGTGGAAGATGATCGTGACGAAACTTGAACAGGTTTCTCCGACGTTGTCCGACCTCTCCACGCACCCCTGCTTCTCCAAGAATGTCCTGTTCAAAGAACAGCTCCGGTCGGTTTTCCGGTCACTGTCGGAATCAATTGAGTTGTCAGAGGTCTGCTGCGGGGAGAGGTACGACGGGAAGCTCCGTATGCAGAGCGATTTGGATTTTCTCGCCGGGAAACTTGATTTGAACCTGCGGGATTGCCGGATTCTGATCAAGACCGGCGTCATAGGCGAGGAATTTCTCGCCCGGCTTCAGATCGGCCACCTGGAGGATAAACACAAAGCTCTTGATTGCCTTCTGGAAGCCATGGAAGAGGACGAGAAGAAGGTTCTAGAGGCTCTTGGTCGGAACAGCGTCACGGCCCTGGTCCAGCTCCTCACCGCCGCCACTTCTCCGAGGATTAGAGAGAAAGCAGTCACCGTCGTTTGCTCGCTTGCGGCGGCGGGGAGATTCGATAAGTGGATGGTGGAAGAAGGCGTTCTTCCTCCGCTCATACGGCTGGTTGAATCCGGGACAGATTTGGGTAAAGAGAAATCCGCCCTGTCTCTTCAGAGGCTTTCGAGCTCGGTACTGACTGCCCGGGCGATCGTCGGGCACGGCGGAGTTAGGCTCCTGGCGGAGGTTTGTGCGGCGGCGGGGGATTCAGTCACTCAGTCGGCCGCCGCTTGTACCTTGAAAAACATCTCGGTTGTGCCGGAGGTTCTGCAGGTTCTCGTCGAGGAGGGCGCGATCAAACTCATGATCGACCTCCTCGACTTCGCCCCGCTGGTCGGAACGAAGAACCACGCCGCCGAGTGCTTGCAGAATCTCACCGCCGGAAACGACGACATCAAGAGACGCGTCGTCTCTGATGGTGGGGTTCGGAGTCTTCTGGCTTTCCTAGACAGCCATGGCACGCCCAGGGAATCCACGGTCTTGGCCGTCAGGAACTTGGTCAGGTGGGCCCCGACCGACGAGTTGGTTTCCCTCGGCATCCTTCCGAAGCTAGCACGGGTGCTTCGGTCGGGCCCGCCCGGGGCCCAACAAGCCGCTGCGTCGTCGATATGCAAGCTCTGCACATCGGGCGACGCGATGAAGCTGGCGGTCAGCGAAGCGGGATGCGTCCCGCTTCTCGTCGGGATGCTGGGGGCGAAAACAAACGGGGCGAGGGAGGTGGCCGCGGAGGCGGCAAGCGCCTTGATGCGGGTCCCACAGATACGCCGGGAGGTGAAGCGGGACGCGAGGAGCGTGCCGAATTTGGTGGCGAATTTGGACCCGAACCCACAGAACGCGGCCAAGAAGTACGCGGTGTCGTGCCTCGTGATCTTGTCGACCAGCAAGCGGTGCAGGCGGTTGATGGTGGCGCACGGGGCAATCGGCTACCTGAAAAAGCTCTCGGAAATGGAGGTCCCCGGAGCTAAGAAGTTGCTCGAGCGTTTGGAAAGAGGGAGGTTGATGAGAAGCTTGTTTGGAAGACATTAATTTCTTTCTTTTTTCCGGCAAGCGAAACATTATTGAAAAGTGCTTTCAGTATCTTTCTGAAACAAACATTATAAAAAAGGAACATTTTATGTCATGAAGTTATTTGGGGTATGGAATGTACATTATATTTTCCTAATGTTTCATTTCCAAATTTAAACTATTTTAACTTTTAAGCCGTGAAATTTGAACTAATCATTTTCATACGGAGTTAACATGGCGTTAATTTTAGTTCCAACGGACAAAATTCGAATATTTACGTAATGAACGAATCACATTAATGACCATTGAAGATTGTGGTTGCAACCAATCGAAATACATATATGATTTATACATACACGAATGATAATTATTTGTATTTATAGATGATTATAATAATTGTGTATAAATTATTTGTAAGAAACACAAATAGAGTCTAGTCAAATACACCGACAATGTTTTGGCCTTTTGTAAACTTTATTTTAAAAAAAAGTGGCTTTTGAATTTGTTCCAAAATAATTACTCCGTAATTTTTTTTAACAGAGTGAAGAATATGTGAACTTTTTTTTAGATTTAGTAGGAATTTCACTTTTCTAAATGTATGGAAAAGTTCATAATACACCATCTTTCTTTTTCTTCCTAAATAAAGTTTCACCAATCAATCTGTAAGAAATCATACTAAATAAGAGTAAAACATAGAGAAAGTACCAAAATAGATGTTCTATGTTTTTATTCTTTAAATACAAGTTCACACTGTGATAATGTGACACCGTACATGTGCATATTACTATAGTTTTTGGTAATGTAATTGTATTTTAACTCCTATTTTGAAAAATAAAAACATAAAACTTTTATTTTGGTATATTTTTAATGTTCTATTCATAACCCCCTTACTCTAAACATTTTTTTAAAAAAAAATTCTTCAATTTTTAAAGTTAAATTAAGACAATTAATTCAGGGAAAGGGAGTATTTTAATTGAAGGGATGAGGATGTTGATACCATAGAGAGTCGTGTATAGAATATAATATGTTTCCATTTCTCATTTTAAAAGCAATTACTCCCTCCGTTCCAATTTATATCGTTTCTTTCAGTTTACGATGTTTAACTGAAATTATTTTCAAATCATTTTATATGACAAATGGTACAGAGTTAAAAAATAAAAGTTACATATTAAAATACTACGTACATCAAAAGATCTACAATTTTAGTATGAATCCTGGTGTGACTGTTTCATGATCCTGTAATTTAACGTGAGTAATAATTGTGAGAGGCGTGACACAAGTTAAAGAGAGGTGTTAAAAGAGGTTTAACAGAGTTCATTATTAACAACTAATGAATTGGTTAAGTAAACTTGATTACGATTCTTGACAATTAGAGACTATACATGTTAGGAGACAATTATAGTCACCATGACTCCATCCCTTTAATGTGAACTTGTGCAGTAATATAAACTACTCCTTTTTTAATTAAAATGATAACTTACTATGACATCTGTGTGTTACATGACTCATATTTACGTTATGAATATATATGAGTGTTATTATTGAAATAAAAATTTAGACCATATGATGAAATATAAGATTTTTCATTATTTTAAAGCATGAATATCTTATGACTTAGAAATTTTGAAAAACTTTTTTATAAACTACTCCCTCCGTCCACAAAAAAAACACTATATTATTTATGCTTGAGTTTTTTAAAGAAAATTGTGCATTTTATTTATACACGAGATATGGAGTAATAATTTAATTATGCCACATCCAACTAAGAAAATTCAAATGTAATTGATATTTTTTGGGATTACTTTTGAAAGAAATACAAAAAAAAGAGTAGGAAACACTATCAAAAGCAATTGGAAACACTGTCATTAAGTAATAATAACTACCCGGCCTTGGGTTATGTGCAAGTAATATTTGTAGTTTGTTATTGTATGTTAGGTGTGTGTAGGGGCAGAACATTTGTATAAGGTAAAATTTGAGCTGAGTTGAGTGGAATGAGATAAGAAAACCCATTGCTCTGATGGAGTATGTGCAAAGACTCTTCTTTAGTAATATGCACTAAATCCAAAGAACAAAAAGATGATTCACTTCTCTATTTTGTTATTCAATTTCATATGTCAAACAAAAGAGATCCGAACTGTATTTCAAACAGGGCTATAATTAAATCTTGTGAAATTGTAATCAGGCAAGTTTTATAACCAGCGTCCATAATGTAGTTTTATAAATTTATTTATAGGTAGAGGGCAAAGCCACGAAATGTAAGAGTGTTTAAAAAAAAACATAAATGAGATTTGCTTTAATGTCATGCAAAGTAGAATGGCTACTGAGATAGGTGCTGGCAACAACAAATGGCTATGAAGATTTAGACAAATAACATGCCAAGCAAAGGATAAGCTAATAATTTCTTGCCCATAATGACACATAGCAAACTCAAGCAAACCCCCTTAATTGTTGAATCTGCAACCTGTCATGACATATAAAAACCCATACCCAAGATGATAGGTTTAAAAAACTTGCAAATCGTAATAAATAACAATAGATCAAAAAGCAATAACGTGCTATCATAGGTAATAGCATTATGAAAAGAAGATTAATCTCGTATCTATGTAATGAAGGTGACTTTGAATCAAGCTTACATGTGGGGCATATGAAGAGTTGTATGTATAACATTTCTTAAAGGCCATTGCTGTCCTTAAACCAATGAATTATATAATATAGAGACCATGTGCTTAACTGAATGGTTCAAGATAAATTTTCAGATCAACGCGCAAATCGATTAAATTTTCACCTGTGGAAATTTTCTCCCATGCCCAGCCTGACATGGCTACAAGCATCAGATGGAAATGGAAGAACCTGGAAAACTGTTGGCTGCTGAAAAATGGTAGCCAGACGGCTATTTTGTTCAACTGATGCAATTGGAAGGTCACCGAATCCAGATTGGTTTACGGGCAGAAGCAGAAACGGAATCCAGTTGAGAGGTGGAAAAACATGGAAATAGAAACGCCTTCCAAGATAATCTAATTTTCACCTAAAAACAAAAAAAAACGAGTAATTAGTGGGCACATTTTCACTGCACATTTGCTTCAGTCTTATTGCCAATGAAAACAAAGATGATTTTGCTCCTCTGCATGTTCTCTTGGTTGGTGAATGATGAAGTCATTGTCAAAAACGGCGAACCTACAGTCATCAAGATCAATGTGTCAAACTTTAGCATGAAATCTAAACTTCTATATATATGATATGATCTAATCCCTAAAACAAAACCAACAAATTCTTTAATAAAGAGGATTTCAAGATCTGATTTAATAATCAAGAATAAATAAATTAATATACATAAAAATATATAAATAATAGTACATTAACCTGCTACAAAATTCATAGATGTTTCCCCCATTGAAGATGATTAAAACAACCTCAACATCACAAAGGGTAGAAAGCTCATTTGCCTTCTTCGGCAATAAACTCCCCTTTGCAAATGTGACCTGTATGTATGAGACAGAAATACAGATAACTCTATCAAGTAAATGATACTTTTGTTTCCAAATTTGTTTCTAAACTACTCGTATTATATTTTGCAAACATCTACGGCCAAAGACATTCAACAATAATAGACTTAAATAATGCTAATTTAGATGGGTTCAGTTCATTCATTGATAGAGAATATAAAAGAGGTAGATCTAGCATAGTCTATACCTTTCATAGTACTTAAACTGAAACTTTTTGAATGGAAGAAACTACCAAAAGAAACAACAATGTAGCGAGCACTGTCTTTTGATAAATATAATCTCCTCTGATTCCCAATATGGGAAATTTTATTTGTTCTCTTTATATCAAAACAATAGGAAAATACATTCCCTTTCTCAATAAAAGAAATTCAAGATTTTGGGAGCCTATTGAACAAAATCTTATACTCACTGATTTCATCATATCAAGCTGTTTTAGCTTGTGAAGTTACTTATTTTTCTACTTCCTTCGCTTAAGACAACCAGGTGAGAATTGTGCAATAAAGTTTATGTGTGTATTGTATGAGTGAAATAAGGAAGAGATCTTAGGGAGATGGTAGTTGGGGAGAGAGGACAAACCAACCTTGTTTGGTAAGAGTGAGATCGGACCCACATAAATTCCTCTCTCATAAAGACATGAGGGGAAGACTGTTTCCTAATTTTTATTTTCCCACTTATAACCTTTCCTCAATTTGATGGGTATATTTATTTTAATGAGGGCAACTTTTGTCTTTCAGATATACAACTAATCCCATCACCCAAACACATTTATTTCTCTCATCTTTCTTTCCTAATTCTCCTATACGGAGTTCCAAACAACCCACTAAGTACTCTCTAACTCTTAGCTCTTTTTTTCCTTCTATCCCACTATTTCTCACAGATCTTTTCTCCTTCAAACCAAACCAAAAGGTAGGCAATTAACCAGCCACGATGCAACAATATTTCCAAAGGAAATTGATTTACCTGCATAAAGAGGATCCCTACAGTAATACCAACAATCAAGAGCACAAAGAGTTGGCTCTCAGATTTCAGCAACACGGCCATATTTTGCAGAACAACCACAATAGGGAAACAGATTTCAGCAACACGGCCATATTCTGCATAACATCCACAATAGGGGAAAACAAAATATATTAAGCACCTGATCATTTAGTGACTCATTTAGTGTCTGAACATTTAATATACTTTGATATAACATTATCCATGTGAAAAGTCATTATTTTTTCTTAAATAAATCATGTAGCTAACAACAACAGAACTAAAAATCAATAGATATAATAGAGCACATTCACAAAAATTGATATTATATCAGCCATATATTTTAAAAAAACATGGGTCCAACCACATGTTCGGTTCAAAGTCAAAGACGCACCCAAGCTAAAATTACGATGTTCAAGTATTTCCTTCTTAAGTGCAGACAGCAGACCAAATAATCAAAGCACATATGCAACCTAACAGTATTCCCTTGTTATGAAACAAAAAGCCACAACAGATCAACTCAACCAGGAAGCTAATCTGCCTAACCTATCTTCCTAAGAATCTGCTTTCAAATTGATCTGCCTTCAAATTAGAAAGCAGTTGGCCATAACCCAAGCTGATTTTCCAACAGTAACTGTCCAAATCCATATCTCAAATCAAACCCAAAACAAACCTCTCAAACTCATTGTTTTCAGCAAAGTGTTCTCTTCGAACAACCAATAAACGTATCCGTGGAAAGACCCTTAAGAAATATGCCCAACCATTTGCAAAAGCAACATATCTATTGTCTCCATAAAAACACCAGCCTCTATATTCACTTCATATTTGCAGGCCAAACCAGTCCCCTTGTTACTTTGTCCAAAACCTAACCAGATCTGTAACATTTCAAATTCAAAAGCAAGGAGAAATAAAGTTCTTAAAACATTAAATAAAACAAAAGAAACAAATGGGCTGTAGTTTCTCAGAAAAATTTCTTAACAGTCATTACTAAATCAAACGCCACAAATTTCTAAACAAACAGTGATGCCTCTACTGCATATGAAAATGTACCATGCGAACAATTGGTTTTGGTGAATTGGGTGTGAAAACTGCTAAAAAAATATGGAGTAATAATTTAATTTTACCATATCCAACTAAGAAAATTAAAAGTAGGCTCTATATCAAAAGCAATTGGAAAAGGAATATGTTTTCTCCATGGAAAGAGTGAAATTGAAACGGACAATGTCTTTCTAAACAAGTAAATATAAAAAAAAGTTTATATAAACTTCAGTTTATTCCCAGAAATTTACAGCATTGGAAGTGATATATTAAATCTTTTCCCCATGTAAAAAGCAATAGTGTATTGTTGTACATCATTTCCATAAGTTATTTCTTTTGTGAATGATAGTAATGTATGGTATATAATTTATTTCTTTCTGTCAAACGTAAAATTTTTAAAAGCTATAATGAATTTCCATAGTTAAATTGACATTATATAAAAGCTACATAGAGTAATATTGTACAAATTTTTTTCATAATGTAACGCTATTTCAACTCAATTTCAATTTTGCCATTGTTTGTTGGACACCTTGCACACCTCTAGACAAATACGGTGCAAAAGATTCATCTTTTTCAAATTCAAAGAGATCAACATATTGGGGTGAAATAACCTTGCCAGGAAGAAAGAGTTTTGTGAAAGACTCTAATGTTTCCTCATCTTCAAAGAAAATAGAAGGATTAAGAGTATAAGCATTACCTCGAATTTTCAGATAATTGAGGTTGGGGATTTGAGGATTCACTTCTTGGCCGATTGGTTCTCTTCTTGGTGTTGGTAGGACCGGCGAAACTTGCGTTTACTCGATTAAATAACCAAAATGACCAAACTATTCCCTCAAATCACATGAAATAAAATCTACCCGCACCCTCAAAATGATCGAAGTCAATCACACAAGTTATAATAGCCGGACACATGATGATTCCTCGACACCAAATCATATACTCCCTCTGTCCCCCTGTGTTTGTCCACATTTGACTTTTGAAACTATTCATCTAAGCACTTTGACTCATCAAATTCTCTCAATGTGTAAGCCTAAATATAGTCATGTGTGATCTTGTTTGATTTGTCTTAACATATAGATTATTAATATATAATTTCTATAATTTTTTAATATACAAATTACAAGATATAATGGATTAAAGAAGTGCATTGGATGGTGTGTAAAAATGAAAGTGGACAAATACAGGGGGACGGAGGGAGTATATAATACGTGCTTGAAGTAAGGAGGTTCTTGTCAGCATTGAGATGGACCACAATTTGTACATACATGTTAATAATAAACCATAGCAAAACCAAAAATGCAAAGTAATAATAATTAAAGTTGGAAACAAAACAGTAATTGTTGCAAAAACTAACTACAGTTTCACTACCTACTACATTCACACACAAAAAATCTATAAGCTTATCATCCGTTGCCTTCATTTGACTTTGTCGGAAGGTACAATATGTGGCACAGATTCAAAGACATCGATCAAATTAACCTCCTTCTCTACCACAGGGCTTCCATCTTTTTTTCTTTTTCAGGACAAGAGCTTCGTCACCGCTAGGCTAGAATGCCCTCACCAAATAGTACTTAAATTGTTTTATTCCTTAAATAACACTTAATAGTATTCATAATGTCTATATATTTTTCATAATTTACAATATTGACGAAAAAAAGTCAAAGGCATTCTTTTAGAAAGAGGAGTAAATCTTTGGAAGTGTTGGCTTCTGGATCAAGGTAAAAGTAAGACCACTCAGTAAAACCTATCTCCCGCCTCCTCCTCACTCCTCTTCACACTCAGTAAAACCCTACCGCCGCCGCCTCCTATTCTTCTTCTTCCATAATTCCATCCAACTCTCTAGCAACTATGTCGGGACGTCCTTCCCTCAATCCCCAAACCTCTCCCTCACCCGCGTCTCGGTCGGCGGTGCAAACCTCTTCATCGCAGCCTGAGTCGACGGCGCAAACCTCTTCATCGCAGTCTCAGTCACCGGCGCGAACTCTTTCCCCGACCGGGACTAAAAATCTCGGGATCTATCTGCTCTAAAAAATATAAAAAAAGAGCATTTGTTTGGGGGGTCATGGATGAGTGTACAAAACTACAAGAAATCAATGGTGAGTTCTTTCTTTAATTAATATAATTTTTCTTTCACATCTTATTAAAACCTAGCTACTGCATATCTTAATAAATAATATTTGTAAAATAATTGAAACTTATTTCTCTCTCGGACTCTCTCTCTCTCACTCTAGGTCTTGACCAGATGGATAGAGTCGAAGAACACGCGTCCAATATTTGAGAAGAAGGTCGTTGACGGAATTGAAAAGGTCACAGGAATGTCGAAAGAATTTCGGAGGCTCACAAGGTTAGGATAATGTCCCCTTTTGCGTATACCAAAATAAAAATTCGAATAGAAAAAAATTGTATCTTTGTCATTCAATGCACACACAAAAATACACCACATGCAAATTTTTTTTTATCAAAGATTGATTCTGAAAATCTTCTACAAACACTACACCAAAATTTAAGCCAAAATGTGGGGGTGACGAGAGTGTATAAGACTTCAACCTCCACATTTTGGCTCAAATTTTGGTGTAGTGTTTGTGGTAGATTTTCAGAATCAATCTTTGATAAAAATATTTTGCATGTGGGTGTATTTTTGTGTGTGCATTGAATGGCAAAGATACAATTTTTTTCTAATCGGATTTTTATTTTGGTATACGCAAAAGGGGACATTATCCTAACCTTGTGAGCCTCCGAAATTCTTTGGACATTCCTGTGACCTTTTCAATTCCATCAACGACCTTCTTCTCGAATATTGGACACCTGTTCTTCGACTCCAGCTATTTGGTCAAGGCCTAGAGTGAGAGAGAAGTCTGAGAGAGAGATAAGTTTCAATTATTTTACAAATATTATTTATTAGGATATGCAGTAGCTAGGTTTTAATAAGATATGAAATAAAAATTATATTAATTAAAGAAAGAACTCACCATTGATTTCTTGAAGTTTTGTACACTCATCCATGACCCCCCCAAACAAATGCTCTTTTTTTATATTCTTTAGAGCAGATAGACCCCGAGATTTTTAGTCCCGGCCGGGGAAAGAGTTCACACCGATAATTGAGACTGCGATGTTTGCGCCGCCGACTCAGGCTGCGATGAAGAGGTTTGCGCTGCCGACCGAGACGCGGGAGAGGGAGAGGTTTGGGGGCCGATTGATTGAGGGAAGGACGTCCCGACATAATTGCTGGGGAGTTGGATGGAACTATGGAAGAACAAGAATAGGAGGCGGCGGCGGTAGGGTTTTACTGAGTGTGAAGAGGAGTGAGGAGGAGGCGGGACATAGGTTTTACTGAGTGGTCTTACTTTTACCTTGATCCAGAAGCCAGCACTTCCAAAGATTTACTCCCCTCTTTCTAAAAGAATGCCTTTGACTTTTTTTCGTCAATATTGTAAATTATGAAAAATATATAGACATTATGAATATTATTAAGTGTTATTTAAGGAATAAAACAATTTAAGTACTATTTGGGGAAATGACTTAAGTTTTAGTGTTATCTAGTGCAAATATTTCAAATATATATTTATAAAGTTGGCATTATTCCAGCTTCGTTTGGCGATCTATTTTGGAAAGGCGACGCATCCTAAAGAAGGGCTGTATACGACGGATCGGGAATGGGGAAACAACAAAGCTGCTGGCTACACCTTGGCTTTTGAGAAAGGAAAACCCATATGTTCGTTCGTGCCTTGCAGAGGAGTTGAACGAGGTTTTGGTGTCAGCTTTTATCGATTCAGGAAATCGAAGATGGAATATGGACTTACTCCCAACACTGTTTAGCGTGGAGGAAGTCCAAGAGATATCATGTATTCCATTGGGCCTATACAGTCGAGAAGATGCATGGATCTGGAGAGATGACCTCAAAGGATTGTATTAAGTGAAACATGGCTACCGAATGATGTACGAAGAGCGGTGGTCAGGGACAACTACTAACAATGCCATGTGGGCATTTATTTGGAAAATGCAGCTACCGCCAAAAGTTCGCAACTTTATGTGGCGAGCTCTCAACGATGTCCTACTAGTAAGAGCCAACCTTCAGAGGCGTCATGTGGAGGTGGCAGATGTGTGTCCTAGATGTTGCACCGATGAGGAGACCACTATCCACAGTTTAATAGGCTGCACTTTTGCCCAAGCATGCCTGGGCATAGTGGGCTATGTATGCATACGACAGTACGGGAGTATGGTTGAGTGGTTTGAGGAGGTTCACCCAACACACACAAAGGAAAGGGTTCAACAACTTTGCATGGTTTTATGGGAGGCGTGGCAACAACGGAATCAACTTGTTAGGAAGAACAGAAGCTTGAGCATGACCTGTGTGGAGGAAAGAGCTGTTCGAGGACTAGAGTGGCAGGCAGCACGTCTCGGGGTCCTTAGAAGCCCGATTGGGGTCGGGGGACAGGATGCATAAATGAGAGCACCGGTGAGAGGGGTCTTAAATGCAATGTGGATGCAAGCTTTAACATACGTACAAGTGTGGCCCGGGTTGGAGTGGTGGTGCGGGATGATCAGGGGAATTTTTTGCGAGGAGCTCACTTCGGACTAGGGCGACTGGAAGATGCACAAATGGCTGAAGCAACAGGACTCCAGGAGGCATTGAGGTGGCTTAGGATGCCGGTTGGACAAATGAATCTAAGTGTCGAGATCGACATCGAGGTAGTATTTAAAGCAATTCAAGAAGATATTGAAACTCATTCACATTCTTATTTCTATGGTGGATCTAAGATCTATCTTGGACTTACATACGAGTAAAATAAGTATTTTTTAAATAAAAAAATAAAAAAGCATTTGTTTTTTAAATAAAATGCTTATTACATAAATAAGCATTTGTTTTTTTAAATAATAAATAAAAAAATATTTTTAAATTAAAAAAATAAAAAAGATATCTTTTGTATGAGAGATCTACAAAAATGACATGTACCTAGAGTGCATCAAAAGCACACCTTTTTAAAAACGAAGAGAATCAATAAACCAGTCCTGACATGGCAGTCCCCTCCTCGGTAACGTTACACTTGGATTTTCAAATTTCACAATTCCTTCAACAACGGTCTGATCCACTGTTCCTCTCTCCAAACCCAGCCGTTCATTGTTTAATCTACATTTCCTATATATCCTCCCCGGCCGTACTGTACAACCATATCAATTAGCTAGAATTAGGAAGTGAGAAGCTAAAGAAGAAGAAGACAACTCTCTTATTTGAGAGTACCCATACTTCCAAGAAGAGTGAGATTTGCTTTTTGAATCTCAGGGGATTTCCATCACTCTTTCTGGGTGTGTCTTCAAAATTCTTGAAATTGTTGCTTCAAATATTCAATTTTTGGCTCAATCGAACAGTTCTTGGTAGTTTTTTTCTCAGAGTTTGAGGCCATTCTTGAAAGTCTTGACAACCAGTTGGTGGTCTGTCACTGTTTCGGCTGCAATTTGGTGCAGATTGTGATTGTTTGCTTGTTGAAACAGTCGGCTTTGGGAGAGTCCCAGAAGCCATTGAAGAAGCTTTGGATGTCTTTGAATCCCAAAAAACTTTGAGGTATAAAACTCAATTCTCTACTTCCATTCATATTAATTTGTCTGTTTTTTTATTTTAAAAAACTGGTGTGTCTCTCTCTTCAAAGCAAAGACTTCATTTTTCAACACCTTGGACAAGTTAATGCCACTTGTATGCAATACTAAATACTTTAATGGTCGAAATTGGATTATAAAATATGACAGCACTTTTTTATAAAAAATAGTGTATATGTATAGATGAATTTAAGTCTGTAACTGAACCGTAAAGGTAAGAACTTTATGTTGTAGATGACTAACATTCCCAATTCTTGTGATGTATAAATATTGCCCACTTTGTATGGTTGATTTACCTGTCTGCTGAGGATTCCATACGTACAAAATTTGAGCTTTACAGTTATGGTAAAAGTTTTTACCCACTGCTTTCATAGTTGAATTGATTGTGGGAGTTTCTTTCTTTCACTTTGTAACAAACTTTTCTGTATAATCTTATTAAAATCTTACCATAATCTTGAGCTTTTGCTAATCTTTCATAAAAATCAGTCCAATTGACAAACTGGTCAAAACAGGTGAACTGAACCGGCCGGTTTGGGTGAGTTTTTTTTAGTGTCTAGGGCTCGAGGAGGCATTTTCATTGTTAAGTCTTTTTTCTATGTATTTATTGACAATTTGGATTATATCAAGAACCAGTTGGTGGCCCCTCCTTTTCCTTTACTGCCCATCTGTAATTGCTCAAACAGTTCTTGATTGAAAAAGCTCCAAAGATTTCATTTTCATGGAAAATTCCATATTGTTCTTTGATGCAGAAATCTCCTGAATTCTACTGAAATCTATCCCGGTAAAAAAAGCTCTGAAGAATGGTTGAAGACGACGGGAAGAGGTAGACAATGATGACCGCCGATGATGACGTGTCAGCAGAGGAGTGGCTGTCGCGGGCCCGGCAGCTCCTCCCGGAAGCTCTGGGAATGGCCACAGAGGTCCGAGGATTCCCCGGCCGGTGGAAGATGATCGTGATGAAACTTGAACAGGTTTCTCCGACGTTCGACCTCTCCACGCACCCCTGCTTTTCCAAGAATGTCCTGTTTAAAGAACAGCTCCGGAAGAGGACGAGAAGAAGGTTCTAGAGGTTCTTTGTCGGAACAGCGTCACGGCCCTGGTCCAGCTCTTCACCGCCGCCACTTCTCCGAAGATTAGAGAGAAAGCGGTCACCGTAGTCTGCTCGCTTGTGGCGGTGAGGAGATTCGATAAGTGGATGGTGGAAGAAGGCGTTCTTCCTCCGCTCATACGGCTGGTTGAATCCGGGACAGATTTGGGTAAAGAGAAATCTGCCCTGTCTCTTAAGAGGCTTTCGAGCTCGGTCTCGACCGCCCGGGCAATCTTCGGGCACGGTGGAGTTAGGCCGTTGGCGGAGGTTTGTGCGGCGGCAGGGGATTCGGTCACTCAGTCCACCGCCGCTTGTACCTTGAAAAACGTCTCGGTCGTACCGGAGGTTCGGCAGGTTCTCGTCAAGGAAGTCGCGATCAAACTCATGATCGACCTCCTCGACTTCGCCCCGCTGGTCGGGACGAAGAACCACGCCGCCGAGTGCTTGCAAAACCTCACCGCCGGTACGGACGACATCAAGAGGCGGGTCGTCTCCGAGGGTGGGGTCCGGAGCCTTCTGGCTTTCCTGGACAGGCAGGGCCCGCCCAGGGAACCCACGGTCTTGGCCGTCAGGAACGTGGTCCAGTGGGCCCTGACCAACGAGTTGGTCTAACTCGGCATCCTTCCGAAGCTAGCACGGGTGCTTTGATCAGGCCGCGTCGTCGATATGCAAGCTCTGCACATCGGGCGACGCGATGAAGCTGGCGATCAGCGAAGCAGGATGCGTCCCGCTTCTTGTCGAGATGCTGGGGGCGAAAACGAACGGGGCGAGGGAGGTGGCCGCGGAGGCGGCAAGCGCCTTGATGCGGGTCCCGTAGATATGCCAGGAGGTGAAGCGGGACGCGAGGAGCGTGCTGAATTTGGTGGCGAATTTGGACCCTAACCCGCAGAATGCGGCCAAAGAAGTACGGTGTCATGCCTCGTGATCTTGTCGACGAGCAAGCGGTGCAGACAGTTGATGGTGGCGCAAGGGGCAAACGGCTACCTGAAAAAGCTCTCGGAAATGGAGGTCCCTGGAGCTAAGAAGTTGCTCTAGCGTTTGGAAAGAGGGAGGTTGATGAGAAGCTTGTTTGGAAGACATTAATTTCTCTTTCTTTTTCCGGCAAGCGAAACATTATTGAAAAGTGCTTTCAGTATCTTTCTGAAACAAACATTATAAAAAAGGGACATTTTATGTCATGAAGTTATTTGGGGTATCGAATGTACATTATATTTTCCTAATGTTTCATTTCCAAATTTAGACTGTTTTAACTTTTAAGCCATGAAATATGAACTAATCATTTTCATACGGAGTTAACATGGCGTTAATTTTAGTTCCAACGGACAAAATTCGAATATTTACGTAATGAACGAATCACATTAATGACCATTGAAGATTGTGGTTGCAACCAACCGAAATACAAATATGATTTATACATACACGAATAATAATTATTTGTATTTATAGAAGATTATAATAATTGTGTGTATGAATAAATTATATTTGAGAAACACAAATAGAGTCCAGTCAAATACACCGACAATGATCGTTTGTGAATAGAGATATTATTGATTTGTATATAAGAATCATTTGTGAGGATCTTCCATTGAAAATCCTGTGGAACTTACAGACACGGTTCAGACGTATGCTATTACATCCTTTGTGTTGAGATCAGTGTCCTACAATGGGAAGTGGCCCATCAAGGGCAGGGTCGGGATGTGGTCGTTTTTTCGAAGTGAATGACAGTCGTACAGATTGGGCACTTCGCATACAAGCCGTGAGGGTTTACCAAGTACCACAACATGATGGAAGCATGAAAATATTGGATATTGTCTTTCATGATAAAGAGGTAAATGTATTTCATTGCACGAGTAATTCATTCTAAATATTTTTTTTGTAATCTATCTAAAAATTGATTCTGTTATTAACAGGGAACTAAAATTCATGTCAAAGTGAATAGCCCCGAACTTCATTACTATCTACCAAAATAAGCAAAGAAGATAGCACTATGCACGACGCAACTTCTGTGTACCGCCAAAGTTTGTCCTACAAGACAACATCGCGCCCCTGGGTTTTGAGCTTAACTTCAAAAACCATGTATAAGGATCTCACACTTAAAAACGAGGCGGACATACCGCTTCCCACCTTTTCCCAAGGTTTAGGTTTAATTACAGTCAATTGACTCCATACTGGCACAGAGAGAGATAGAAGGCAACTATGGCTTAATTAGAGCATATTCACTATCTCTATATTAATATATTCTATTTGTCTTGAAGCACACCTTATAATATCTATAGTATCTATGCTTTTTTTATTTGTTGTGCCATGTTTGAAACGTGCATGTCACACATCTCAAACTAATGGAGAAAGGTTGGTTCTGTTTTAGTTTCTTTTTAAGTTCTCTATGGCATCTACCCAATGTATATATTATTATGATGAAATGAAACTAAGCTTATATGATTATATATTTTTTCCTCTGACTGCAATGTTCTTCATTCTATTTTTAAAGAATGCATCTGGATCCTAAAAAATTGCTCACATGAAGAATCCCTTTTAAGAAATAATCAACTAAATTTGAAGGAGTAAAGTGAAAAAGGAAACGATTTGAAAGTTTCATATCCAATACAGTTTGGTACATAAAAAACAGTGCAAGACACATTTTTTTGAAATCGTGAAATAAGTTCATATGTTTATATTTTTTGCTTTTGTCTTTGCAATAATCTTGATTCTGATTTTAAAAAATACTTCTAAACTCATCTAACGACTTGGTCATCTTAAAAAAACCCTTTTAAGAATTAACAAACCAAATTTCAAGGTGTAATCTTAAAAAGGAAAATGATTTGAAAACACCAATGTTACAAGATAGAACACTTTAACATAAAATTGTATCACTTCATATCAAATACAGTTTAGTTCATAAAAAACACTGTCCTGGACTGTTAAATAATTTTGAAAACATAAAATAATTTATATATGACCATTAAAATTTTAAAATAAACAATTTTACAAATAGTCCTGCGCAGGAACGTATGGATAGTGACTAATTGAGTTATACCCTTGAAAAACCTTTATATTTAACACTTACACTCATAATTCAAAATCAGATTCCTAACTTTAAAAAAAAGAGTACTTCAATAAAAAAGTACATTTATAATAGGGTGTCAAATGATTCAATATAATCAATTAACTTGAGATTCTATGTAATATTAAGATTACCTTTTCCCTTGTGAATAATGAAATCTGAGAACTTCATAATTTTTCCTGGCTCACTTCTTCAAACTTTTAAATAGACGACATCACCTACATTTAAATCAATAATATTATGGCCATAATCAATATATTACAATTTAAAGAATAACAAACGCTCCAGAGAGAATCTTAATTACCTTGCAGAGGTGGAACATTGGATTAACCAAAAACAAGATCTATGAACATTGGAAGAAATAAAATTTAGACCACTTGATAAATTTTTAAAAAAAATGTGTATAAATACATTAACAGAAATTTATCGAGCTCAATCTGTGATTGCTCCAACAAAATATAAACCCGAAAAAATATATATATATAAATTTATAAACCTATTATCCAGCTCAATCCTGGGTTGAGCTTGAAGACGTCCCTTTCGGTGAGAATCAGTCTACCCAAGCCGATGATAAAATCCATAATAACATAAAATAGAAAAATTCATTCACAGAACAATCAATCCGGATCCAAAAACATGAAAATATCTAAAACAAGTACATATATTTCCGTTGTTAAAGCAATAATTCTACAAACAAACAAAATCATGTATTGAAAATGGAAAATGAAAGAGGCAGAACAGAAGAGATAGCATTGTCGTGTAGAGAGACAGAGAGAGAGTGAGAGAGGGAGATTGGGGAGGCGGAGAAGAAAAAAAACCAGAATCGGCTAGGGTTGCCCATGGTTGATTGGGCTGTCTTAAATGGATGGGCTTGAGGTGGGCTTCCAATAATGTACTCCCTCCGACTCCCAGTTTGACTTTTCTGACTATGATATTGAAATGTCCAAAATGCCCTCATTGAATTGCTTTACCCCCACCACTATCTCACCCCAGCCACAGCTGCCCCAACCCACCTCCGCCCATCTCTGCGCTGCCCACCGCGGCCCCAACCTATCGCCACTCCCCACTGCTCCGGCTCCACCGCCGCCCAACGCCATCACCAACTACTTCATCTTTGCCATCCCTATCCTCATCTTCTTCTTCAGCCACTCACCACAATAAGGGAAGGGAAAAATCAGGGGAAACAAAACGAGAAGAAAAAGATCTAATA